GTCCTTTTAAGCCCCAGGGACAGGTGAGGGCCAACCAGGTGTGAGCAGGGGAAGGCTCAGGGGATGTGGACGCTAGGACAAACCAATGAGCCCAGGCCTGGGGGGCATCTGCCAATCACACGACGCCTTGCTGGAAGGTGAAGATGATGGGCAGCTCTTAGGCAGGAGGGCAAAAGGGGGAGGGGGAAAGGTTGGCGTACCTGAGGGGGATGGGATAGGTGAGACAGGAAATGGCAACGCACTGCAACACTCTTCCTCCTCAACCTGCACCCTCTGCGCTGCCCTTTGCTAGACAGGAAGTGATCTATCAGAAATGAAGTGTATAATTTCTGATACATCTGCATGCATTTGCAAGCTAAAACAGAAAAAAGGGAAGAGATAGAAAGGAATGAAGATTTTAAAATTGCACTGTTCAGAAGAGACACATGAACCACCAGTGTAAACACAACTGAGAGATTCAGCTTGGAGTTGGATTAGAGTGGAATCCATTCACTGAAGGTTTTTGGTGCACAGGAGTGCTAAGACTGAGGAAAAAAGGAGAAAAGTTTAATTTCTGAAAGCCATTTAGATTCCTGGAAGCATTGTCTAGAGATCCAAAAAGCTAAAGCCTCAGAGAAGCTGAACCTAAAACATCCCCAAATGGATTGATAAGGTATGATGGGCACATCTCTGCTGTTTTCAGAGTCAATGAAACTGACAAGGAGTGTCTGGAAATTAGGAATGCCAACCCAGATTTTATCTCCATTACTTTAAGAACACCTTAATAAGGCACTTTAGGAACTGAACACTAACATTCTCACTCTGCTCTATTTACTTTACATTTGAATACAGGCTGGTAGAAGGAGAGATCTGGCTTTAATTTCTCCCCAAGTTACCTGTTGCACTTTCAGGTTAGGAGTAGATGTAAAATTCAGCTAATCACTCTCTCTATCCATGAATATTTCACTAGTGAACTGACATGTAGAAACATCCTTTTTCTCTTGGTACCTTCCTAAGTGGTGCCCTAATGAACAGGAGACTTGCATAAATCTCACAGAAAATCACCCAAATTGATGAAATTAACACTCGATTCCATGATAAAAGCTTCTGAGAAAAGGCTTGAGAGGATCACTGAACAAAGTGAAACTTAGGAGAGAAACATGCATTTTAGCACTGATCAAGGGGAAAGGAAAAGAAATGCTGTAAAAATTCCAAGTGGAAGATAAGGAGAAAGACAGGCAGCACAGGAAGAACAAGGCCCTGTCAGATGACCTGTGGAAGGTAACTTTGTGCCCCAGCACTGTTAGAGGACATTCCCTGTCATTGGTGCAAGCAGCTGGAGACATAAATACTGATTGATTTGGGGGCCGCCATCTTGGTAAGTGCAGAGGTGGTTCAATAACGTGACATGAGGGAGTTCCCTCAGAGCAACTGGGATGCCTGAAGGAAGTGAACAGCTCACCACAGCCTGGTCCGCTTGGCTGCTTTTCCTTCTGACCCTCCTGGGGAGGCTCTGAGATTTCCTCTTCCCTGATGGAAGTGCAGCTGCTGCCAAGGGAAACGTCCCCAGACTGACTCAGTGTTCCCTTCGCTTGCCAGATGTCCCATCTGCTGTTGCTGTCCAGGAGAGCTGCTCTGCACGGGAGGAGGAGACCGAGGGAGAGCCTGGGAACATCAGCAGCTGCAATCCCTCCTGATCTAGTGCTGTTTATGGATGTGTAGAGTTAGACTTGGACAGTTACAAGTATAGGGATATTTACATACACTGACTGATATTTGTATAGGGATATTATGAATGCGTATCTAGTTACATTTTTGGATGTATGTTATGTGTACATATATATATATATGTGTGTGTGTAAATATATACAAAAACATAGATATATATGCAGTTATTTATATGTGTACCTATGTATCTAGTTATATTTATATGTCTGTGTTCACTTTACATCCCTGCTTTCTTACATTCACATATGTGTACAGTTGTACAGCTGTATAGTTCTACTGTTAAAGTTAGATGGATTTTTATATTGGTACAATGATATTTGTATTTATAGATAGGATTCCTATGTATTTATTTATATGGGTCTTGTTATATGTAATATGTAACACTTAATATATATTTATACTGTACATTGTTATGGTTGTGTATTTACTTCTATTATATTGAACTGCGTATAGATTTGTATAGTTCTGAAATTGTATTCCTTTAATTCTAGGCCTAGGGTTATTTAGAGAGGGATATTGATATTTCTGTGTTTGTATATGGGTGTACAGTTGTAGTAGTACGTAATAAATTTGTTAAACTTCAATTGATATTTGCTTATAGTGTTTGTAGATGGTTTCAGTACATTAGTTTTTTAACTGCATTTGACATTTGTAAATATTTGCATTGCATGATAGTAACAATAAATTTCTTTTGTAACCTTAAATTGATATTTTTATGTTGGCAGCACAGGTGTAGCAATTTATAAAAAGTTTCATTTTTTAAACTTCCGTTGATTTTTGTGTATTTGTTCACTGTTGCAGCATTGCAGGGTGGTAGAAATGCTGCAGCCTTCTTTGAGGCATTTCCTTCAGGAGCTGCTAAGAGGAAGGCCACGAGAACAGCCATTTCCAGTCCATGTGTGCATGGACTCCTGGACTCACAGATAGCTCAGCAGAGGAAAGACAGGAAGGGTTTTTGCATGAGATATTCCAGCGAGGGTTTTATTGCATCCCTCACGCCAGAGGGACGAGACAAAAGGACAAACCACGTCCTCTGCACAGCTTAAGTGTGGGGTCAGTGACCAATGACCTGAGGGCACAGGGGCGGGCAAAGGGCAGGGCCAAGGGCAACAACAACCTGTAAGGGGGATGAGGGATGAATAATTGGGGTGGGCAGTGTCAACTGGCCAGTGGGGGAGGCAATCTGATGTAGATTGGCAGTAGTGCTGCAGAGCGTCATGGGTTAAGTCTTCTCCATCAGCCTAGGTGGGGAAAACTCTATGATACAGAGTTTGAGGGGGGGGGAGTCAGAGGATTCCACAACTCCCCTGTTTTTCTTTACTATGAAGACTTCCCCAGTGGACCTCTGCAGAAACTTAACTAAACAGGGAAACAGGAGTAAAAACAATGATTACAACCCCAAGAGTTCCTCTAAGGAACGATGAAACCTATACTGTCAACCGCCATTGTCCAAAAAGTTCATTGATGTCATCTGAGTTCTTCTCAACTTTTAAGTTCTTTACTTGCTCCTTCAGCTCTGGATGTTTACGTGGATAGATGTTGAGTGCGAAGAAAAGTTGAAGCAGAACATCCTTTGAAAGTTGTGGCAGCTGTGTCCACGGGCAAGCAGTGAAAAATCTATTGCTGCTGGTTTTATAGTGTTACATGCTTGGCGCTATTAGCATTTGTTAGCAGCTCACTCAGTGCTTATGACGTAGCATTGGTTTGCTTACTGAGCTAGCACTTTCAATTCTCTTAGCATTTTTTTTTAAAGTTTTTTGCAGCAGTAACCCCAGGGACCAATACTGAGGCTGCTATTTTCTTTTTTCTACCTCAAAAATCAATTTTGTTTCTGCAGCCAGATTTAAATTGATGGACAAATCTGTTGAGCTTAATGTTTTTGGTCATGAATTATGGTAATGTTAGGTGCTAGCAGAGCAGGCTTCCCCAAGTCATGTGGGTCACTTCAGCCATGGGACCATTTATTTGCTGGTGGGGAGTAAGGTTTCCAAGAGGCTGCATGGGCGAGCAGGGCTCCCTCAGAGATAATTTCTTGGAAAACAACCTGTAAATAGAATACATCTGCAAGAAAAAATTAAATTGTAATAGGCTGCAAGATTTAGTAAAGACTGAGTATTTGCAAATTTCATGGATTTGTTACATCTAGAATACATAGAGAGACAAAATTCTATTTAGTTACACATCCTTTTCGTAAGGCTGCTAGAGGGTTTTAGCTCTCTGCTTCTCAATGGCTTTAAAGACTCCTTATTCTTAAGACAAATTCACTTGGATCTTCTAACTACCATTATAAAAAGGAGACAGTTGTGCAGTTAGAATATAACAGAATTTTGGAAACGGAAAGCATTCTTAAAAGCTCACAAGAAATAGCTATAAGAGAAGCTATGCCTTTTTTTAATTTTTTTTTTTTTATTTCATCAGATGACTTGCGTGTGTTTGAGCAGTTGAACATTGGTATATATCTTTGCATGAAATTCACACATATAGAACAAAGAGTCTTATTCATGTGCAGAACGGGGGGCGGCCGGTGGCGGGAGCGGCTCCACGCCATGGAGTGTGATGCGGAGGTGCAGGAGGGGCTGCGGCCCAGCAACGCCCACTTCGTGGCCTCCATGAGCCGCATCCTGCAGGAGTATAATCATCCCTTTGAAGGTGACATACTGGTTCCCCTGGATACTCTCACTTATGATACACCAGACAGACCAAAGTGATCGGAGCAAGTGTCAAGGAAGGATGTTCGAAAATGGAAGAAGAAAACATTTAAGCATGATAGATGAAGTCAAAGAAATACAGACATATCAAAGCAACAGAGCAGTGATTTCTTTTTTTAATCAGATGACTTGCATGTGTTTGAGCAATTGAACATTGGTATATGACTTTGCATGACATTCACACATATAGAACAAAGAGTCTTCGACACTTCTGAAGTTGCTGCAGGTGACGTTTGGGTTCACCTAGAGGGTGGACAGGGGTGGTGAGCACTGCAAGATCCAGCTGCAGTCCCCATCCATGTTCCTTTCAGTGGTGGCTTTAGGGTGTCTGCAGCCTGGATCCAGAGCACCCTGGGGGGCTCCTGTGGCTCTCAGGGTGAGGATGCCCAGGAGCTGCAGTGGGGTCAGCAGTGGGGACCAAGGCTGGGGCTTGTGGCCTGGCAGGTGTGGCTCTAGGGGCTGTGACATGCCAGGGCACGGGTCACAGTGGGAGCTGTGAGCAGGGGTGTTGAGAGTTTTTGCAGGACAATGGACATATGCAACATATGCACAATCCAGCCTTCATAGAAACTGGGTAAGGTCACAATGCCCTTGAAAGACATGAAAGGAGAAGAACACACTCAGAAGCAGACAGTGCAGGATGCAAAGGCAGACAAGAAAACTGCAGTGAGACGCACGAAGAAGAAGGAGTAACCAAAATTAACTGAAATATTAAAATGCATGTGTAAAAAGGATTTAACCAATCATGTATTAGCTTGAGGTGTGAACAACAGAGAACAGTATAAATATAGTTTGCTTTTTGTAATAAATCAGCTTCAACTGATCATATTGATCATGGCATGATGTCCTGTTACTGATCCTCCGCACAGGGGCGTGGCCAGCTTGGCAGCTGAGTGACATGGTTCTGCTGGCTGTGACATCACAGAGGACAGGTCACGCTGGCACCTGTGTCCAGGGGCAGCACCGGGCAGTTGGATTCTGGCAGCCAGTGAGTGCACACACAGGGGGACAGCTGAGCTGGATGGGGGCTGGGAAAGGTGCCCTGGGGGTTTAAAGCCAGAAGGAGAGTGGGGACCCTCAGGGCAGGCCACTGTCCCCAGGGCTGGGAGAAGTGGGGCTTGAGGCTCTCAGCATGGCAGGTGCCCAGAGAGGCTCTGGGGACATTCCAGGTGTTGGCAGCCCCTTGCTCCCTCCCAGCCAGACGTGCAGAGCTCCCTTTCTCCCACCAGGCCATGTCTCCAACACTGGCCTTCATCCTGGCCCTGTTATGCACCCCCAGTGGGTTGAAAGCGGACATGAAAATTGATAAGGATGTGGTCAGGCGGATGCGGGAGCGGGAGGAATTTCTGCATCAGGAGATGACTCGGCTCCTGCAGGAGGTGGATGACAACAACTCCATCATGGAAAGCCTGTTCCTTTCTGCATGGCAGCTACTGTGGCTGCCTTGGCTCGCCAACGCTGGGCAGAAGGTGAATCCAGAAACTGAAAAGAGTGAAGCTGAATGGATGCAGGAGCGCGAGGAGTATCTGCTTCAGGAAATGACTCGGCTCCTGCAGGAGATTGATGGCAACAATTCCATCATGGAAAGCCTGTTCCTTTCTGCACAGCAGCTGCTGTGGCTGCCTTTGCTCACCGAGGCTGTTTTGCTCTCTCTGGCCTTCTGGCTGGTCAGGAGATGGAAGTGCAGCTCTGCTAGACACAGCGCGCAGGAGGGATCCAGCAGCAAGTGGAATATTGTCAGGGGGAAGTTCAGCAGCAAGGAGAAGGTCAGTGAGCATGAGAAGGACAAGGGTGAAGACTGGAGTGGCAGCATTTTGGCTGTGCCCAGCCCATCACCAATGGGCACATCCAGGATAGGGCTGGAGCGGGCTGTCAGCAACCTGTTCCCATTGGGAATGTCCCTGCTCATTGCTATGGGGTTACACTGGATGGTCCATAAAGGTCACCCCTGAGCCCAGCTGTTCTGTGATTCTGCAGCAGGGCCTGCCCAGCACGAAGGTGCTGCAGGAGCTGGTGGACGAGCTCCTCGGTGTCTGCCGAGTGCTCTCCCGGAGGAGCTTCATGCCGGAGCTGCACCCAGCTGCTGGGACGGACACCAGCCCTGCAGCCTGCAGTGTCCAGGAGAACAGCAGCACCTACCGCCCACTGGTCATCCTGCGGCCACCCCCCGGCCACTCCTTCAGCCTGGAGAGCACGAAGTGGCCACCAGCCAGGCGCATCCGTGTGGCGCTGGAGTGCCTGTGCTCCGGGGAGCAGCTGCTGGGGCACACGTGCTTCCTGCACGCCTCTGGTGGCCAGCTGCCCACGGATCAGGAGTGGTACCTGATGGACACCCTCTGCACGGGCTCCTACTTGGATGCCAAGAAAGTCACCCGCTGGGTGCAAACGTTGGTGCTGTCGGCCTGGCTGCTCCTGCCGCAGTCGCGCCACTGCCAGCTCACGGCGCTGCCCTGCGGCAAGTCCTGCAGCTTCCGGCTGAGCGGCGCCTCTGGCCTGCACTGCAGCATCGAGATGGCTCTGGCTGTGCAGCGAGGCAGCTCAGGTGCCTGCCTGGGCCTAGAGTAGGCAGCAGCCAGCTCTGCCAGCAGCACCGTGTGGGCCAGAGAGCTGCCACCTCTCAGACTCACTGCCACGACGGCACTGCTGCTGAGGTGACAGCATTGCCACCGAAAATGAGTTGAGGAAGGTGAAGAGAACCATTCCTCATGGGACATTTTTTTGTTTTCTGTTAGGGTTCTTTAGTTCCTTATTATAAAATCTGAAAAATGTAGCCTGACTGTAATAATTGTAAAACCTCCCAAGGCAGAGCTGGGAAGGTTAACATGATTTCAAATACATAGAAATAGAAGTTTATGTTGAGAAAAATTATACATCCAAAGGAGTTTTCCTACACCACTTTTTTTCATTAAAAAAATAAAATGAAGTTCTTTTAACTCATATTTGGTCTCCCAACATGTCACTTGTGATGAGAATACAGACAAGTCATAAATTAGTAAATTGTCAATAGAAGCAACTATGGTGGCAATTCAAAATTTCATTGGCTCAGCCACAGCTCCATCTCAACTCTAGGAAGGTTTCTTTAAAAAAGAAAAGAGAAAATTTGGCCCACTACATACCCATTATTAAAAGGAAGGAAAAGCCCCTTGTATCTATGCCAAAGATGACAGGGCCTAAGTGAAAAATGATCATCACATCTCAATTTAAAACTGCTGGCAGCTGCCCCGCACCCAGACTGGTCTTCTGATCTTTAGCAGGGAGCTGGAGCCGTTCCTAGGAAAAGAAAACAATACAAACTTCCTGGGCAAAACCAAGCTGTGTAACTGCATCAACTTGGGATCTTTTGGGCTGGGTTCTAACTTGTATTGCATGAAGTGCTCGCTGCACTGCTCTTATTGCTTCCCCCAACTTAATAACTACTATGACACTACTTGCAAGCATAACTTAGCACCAACACCAAACCTCCTCTTTGTCTTCCTTCTGGATTAGAACAAAATAAATTTGAAGAGTAATAGTGCCTGAAAATTTGTTCCTCTACAGCTCCAAGTTGATCCATAACAATTCTAACTATGAGACAGCAAGAGACTATCAACTCTTCCAGAAGCTCTTGCGTGGTCATGGCTGAGGGAGCTTTTCCTGCAGCCCTGGAAATGGCTCCAGGGGCCCTTGGCCGAGGACGGGGATCAGGGCTCAGGGAAAAGAACCAATGGGCTCAAGGCAAAGGCTGAGAGGGCAGAGCTGCCACAGTGTGGCACAGAAAGAGCCTCATTTTTTTCCTTTTATTTTTTGCTGTGAGGGAATGGAACCAAAGAAATTGGTCTCAGCATGCCTTCTGGGACTGCAGAGATCCCCACACATCAAACCCCAGGTGAACCTTTACCCTTACTAATTAGACCAATCTTGCATTTCTCCCTCACTTACAAACTGTATGCAAACTCTGAGGCAAAGGCTTAGGGATGCCAGATGTGAGTAACGGCCTCCTTCTAGTGACTGCATCTCTGTGCACTTTGCAAACTCGCAGAATCATTCAAGAGAACTTAAAGAATGAAACAGAATTTGTTTCTCCTATCTCCTCCTGCAAAATCCCTGGTGTTTCTGGTCATTCAATGTCTTTTCTTTATGGTAAGTGCTGCTGGCCGAGGGTCTATATACAAATCACAAATGGGATGGGACCTGCTGTGGAACATGCCTTGAGCTGTTTTATTTTTCAGCATCAGTCTCATTCCATGGTTATGACAATGGGAAGATGCCAGCAGCTCACATCCCAGGCAGCAGACCAAGAATTTAATGTTACAACTTACGTTATAAGTTTTTTGACCAATCACACAAAGCAAAAGCATATTGACAGTAGTTCTATCCAACCACTACAAGCACACGTATCTTTGGTTAAAACAATGCCTGCTTATTCCGAATACAATACCTGCTTGTAAGCCTTAAAACACAATGCACAGAGCTCCATTATTAAGCTTCAACCTTCCGAATATCTTGCTAGATATACTTTTCTGAAGCTTAGGGACTTATTCTAGACAAGCATTAATACACACACCATTGTTCTATTTCTTCTTTCTTTTCTACTTATATAATTTTTCTGCTGACAAAACTGATGGCTACTGCTCAGCTTTAATCAAAGTTTTGCTGTATCTGAGGCCTGCCTTTTGCAGCTTTCCCAAAACCCTCTGTTTTGAGGATTCCCACAGAGAGATACTCTGTTTTCCGACTGTTTCTGTTGCCTTGTTTTGTTTTTGTCGCCCTGAGTTTCCTGAGAGGAAGAAACCCCAGGGACAGAAAGCACCATTTCTAGAGCACTGGCAGGGCAAAAATCCCAGCAAGATGAAGCAACCAGAATAAATGGATGAGTGGGTTTCTGGGCCAGGTTTGCCTGTGATGGCAAGGTCGTGCACATGAAGATGCAGGTGCAGATTGTCCTGTGGCTCCTTATTCTGCATCTTTCTAGGAACTAGAGGAATCCTGATGGAGCCTGTGAAGCACTTGAGCTCTGAAAGTCATGCTTCACTGTTCTTTACTGTTTTGAGTTTTATTTGTGAGCAGCATCCATTTGTAACATCAGCCAAGCCTGCTTCATTCCTGGTGCCGCTCATCATTTCAGTGAAGAGGAGGAAGGAGACGTTAACACTGTGATAATGACATAAGGACCATTTACTCCATAACTAGCTTAGAGTAGAACTGTGGAGTAGGATTATAGAGTAGGATTGTAAATCAGTGAAGTTTCAGAAACTTCAACTCATCTGCAAGATTCCATTCTTTCTCACCCTGTGAATAAGCTCAGCATTTCCTTCTGAGTTGTCAGTGGTCTCTTAAAGGTGCAAAGTGACATTTATGGCTTCTTTGGTGTGCCTTGAAAGTGGGGAAGGATCTTCTTCATTCATACTCTCCAGACCACACTGCCTTTGGAATACAACCCACTGGCTGGTTTTGGCACATCTGTGATATGTCTAGTTAAGGCAGAAAGGGCAATGGCATTTGCAGGAAAAAGCAAAGGAAGAATGGAGCAGCCCAAACATCCTGTGCGGATTCAGGCATTGAGATGTGATTCGAGAGCATTTGGGTTGCTGCCACTTGGATTTGTGTCCCTAAGTGCAATCTCTTTGGCAGAAGGAGAGCCTTGCTCAAGTGAGAAAGCAGAAAGATCAGAGAGGGTGCTCGGCAAGGTCTCCTGAGGTGCAGAGCTATCAGCGCCTGTGAGATGAGAGCGGCCCCGGCCTTGGCCGGGCTGGAGCCCCAGCAGAGCCCAGGCAGAGGCGGGAGCAGGCTGAGCCCCGGCAGAGGCAGGCTGGAAGGAGGCCCTTGGAGCTGCAAGAGGCAGCAGCCGGGCCCTGGGTGCCTGTTCCTGGGAGCGGGCAAATCCTGCGCTCTCAGAGCCCAGGTGGCAGCTGGCTGCTCCCGAGGGGAAGCGCAGCCGTGCTGGGCACAGCCTGGCCTGGAGGCATTGGCCGTCTGGAGTGTGCCCAGGAGCAGAGAAAGGCCAAGGGCAGCCGAGGGCCGCTGGGCTGGCTGAGGATTCCTCCTCTTCTGCCGGCTGCCCTGCAACTCCTGGCCAAAGTCAGCAGTGTGTGCAGCACTCTGGGCACCGGGGCAGGGAGCCAGGCTGCTTGGCAGGCTGGAGCACAGGGCAGCCTCCTTCAGGCCCGGCACTTCTGCCAGGGGAAGCGAGGCCAGCGTGAGGCAGGGACAGCTTGGCAGGGCACGTCTGCAGGAGCCAGCGCCTCACACAGCTCTGGGAGGAAGCGCCTGCAATCCTGCAGTTCTGCACTGAGCCAGAGCAAAGGTGTGAGATGCAGAGTGTTTGGCAGAAATATTCAGGCCCAGCAGGCCAGCCTGCTTTGTGCTGTCTGGCACACAGCAAGCGCTGTGCAATGCAGCTCTGAGCTGCTGGGAGAGAGGCAGTCGGGGATGTTCCTGAGGGTTTTGCTTGACTAGTGAACTAATTAGGAAGGGGGCAGAATGGTTGCAGTAGGCTATTTGAGTTTTCTTAATTAATTTCTGAAGGAAGGATGCAATGTGTCTTCACTCATCAAAAGCACTTGCAGGACTTCTTGGCAAAATTCTTGTGTTTGATTCCCAGAGTAGGAAGGAGAAGCGTTGGGAAAATGTTAAGGCGTAACAAATGGGGCTTAATCTTGTGAATTCCTTGAGCTTTAGCAGGCCGTGCTGAACCCCGTATTCCCCCATTGCAGTGCTTAATGTGTGCAAGTGGCTATCTTAACCTTGAGAATAATGCGAATGGTCCTTCTAAGAAGGTAGCTGGAATGCATTCAAGGGAAGAAAGTGTTTTTAGGATGCTCTTGACTAGTAAAGGAGAATTTGAGGAATGGATTTGAGGAATTTCTCAAACAACTGTGTCCAAGACCCTGCCGTTTTTGATCCATGTTTGAGCAGGTTGACAAGGAAATGAAGAAAATATCTTGTTCAATGTGTTGGAACTTGACCCTTTGTCCTGGCTGAGGGTAAATTTGGGAGTGAACCCCCGAAGGGGTTCCTCTAGAAAGCACATTCAATTGGCCCCTCTCGCAACCAGTTTGGGAGAAAATAGCTCCTTGGAGAAGAGTGGAAAAAACCTGTTTATGAAGCAATAAAACCTAAATATTATTAAACAATAAAACCTCTTGCCGCTCCAAAAGAGAGACAAACTCACAAAGTTCCATCCGAGGGCGTTGGCTCAGCTCACTCAGTCTCTTATCAGTCCCTGTGGTGCTGGAAATGCCGCAGCCCAGGCCCAGCACGGTGGGTCACAGGTGTGACCTGCCAGTGCTCTTCTGGTGTTCAGTCTGGAGAAGGTCTAAACAGGTCCAAAGAAAAGGGGAAAACCCCCCCACAGTCCAGAGAACTTGTTTGCCTCAGCTAGCTAAAACAAACTAAAAGCAAAGGAGAGCTCTGTCTTGCCTTCTGTCTATCCGCAGACATCACAGTCCAGGAGCAGGAATGTGGAGCAGTGAGTGCAGTTTCTGAAAAGAAACTCCGTGCTTCTTCTCTCCCCCCTTCAGTCTTGGAACAAGTCTGCAAAACTTATTATTCAGCAAAACCAGAACAGATGACTGGGGATACAAGCATGATATAGTCAAGCCAGGACACCCTTGAAAGAGAAACAATGTATTGGTCAATCAGTGGGCAGTCAAGCTTTGAAAGGGGAATAGTGTGTAATGGAGCCCTTGCTGTCAGGGAGTTGGTATCCTGAGCCATCATGGCCTCATCTCACACGCTGGCCATGTGTGGGCCGATGCTGTAACTGGGAAAATTCTACTCCTGAGCAGGAGATATAGGGCCTGCTTCTGGGGTGGAGGGGTGAGAAGGATGAGATCCACAGCATTTTGATCCAGGGGATGTCCTGGAAGTGCACTGCCTACCTGCCCCTGGCACCGAGCACCATGCTCTACCTCCTTCTCCTGCTCAGCAGATTTTTGGGAATCCAGGGGTTGGTATGTATTATTTGCTTTGCAGTCCCTGTTGTGTCTTAGGTTCTTTTGTGCATGGGTCTCCTCCTGGACCTGTGACAATGACCACCAGGGACCTACAGGACACTCCTACTCTGATGTCAATAAATTCTGAGAAGTGATTGAAATGGGTCAGATAAAATTGGGGTAATGTTTAGCCTGTGAGTTTCCACAAAGTATTGAATGTGTCTTGATTCCATGGATGCAAAGTAGTAAGTGAGATTGCTGGGTGTGCATATGTAAGAGAAGTGATTCCCTATGCACTGAGTACTAAAATACAGTAATGCCTCCTTTCTAACCCTGAGCTGGCAGCAGGGATCGGGCCCTGCTTGGTCACTTTCATTTTGGCAACTTCTGTCAGCAGATAAGAAAGGTCAAAATGAAACATTTTCAGCTGTTTTACTCTCATTTGCCTTTTTGGGAGCTAAGGGTGGCCTGGGTATATGCAGAGCAGTGCAGCCCCAGAAACCCTTTGGTTTGCCCACAAGTTGTCATGCCTTGTTCCCAGGTGCGCCCAGCTGTGGCAGGAGAAGGAGCCCACAGCGCAGTGGGCACCGTGCTCTGCCCAGCCAGGGCTCTCTGGCACAGAGCAGCAGCAGCAGCAGCAGCAGCAGCAGAAGCAGCAGCAGCAGCAGCAGCAGCAGCAGCAGCGTTCAACCCGCTCCTGCCTTGGCTTCCCTGGGACACAGAAGCCTCTGGAAATCAGCACCGCCAGTCGTGTTCCCAGCCTGGAGCAGCTCCTGCGGGCGGGCAGATGCTGCCAGTTGGACTGCTTCCAAAGGGGAATAAAGGCAGAGATGTACATGCACCAGAGCCCTGGGCATGTCCAATAAATGTGCAAATAGGTGGGGAGATTTTTTAGGAATGATTTCAGCTGTTATGCCAACAGTGGCTTCTCTCCTGGTTCTGTGCAATGCTGTGGGCCATTTTCTTGGTCTGGTTTCCTTTGCTTGGGTCCCATCTGAGTGCTTATTTGGGGTCCAGGCTGTAGGTGCTTTGTGCACTCTTGGAGTTACTCTTGGATCCCTTGAACAACAGGCTTTGGCCCATGACAGGAATTTGTGCTGCTTTGTGACAGAGGAGAACTTTGCAGGCTATTTTGTGTTTGCTGTAGGGAAGGTTGGTTATTGCTTTGGATAATTCACAGACAAACGTAGAACGTTTGCTTTGTGATGTCAGGGCATGGTTTCCACGTCGTTGTGGTGACATCAGAAGGTTGCCTTGGTGCAAGGAAGGCCTGAGTGTCAGAGCAGCCGTAGGTCTTGCTGAGAGCAGGCACATCCTTCTGGTTAAGGCATTTGTCAGGGTGTAGCTGTGCACTGACGAGAGCCTTTTTTTTTCTACTGTGTGAGCACGGCCTGCACACTCATAGAGCAGCACCACAGGGATGGAGGAAGTCACTGCTGCAATTTTCGCTGCTTATGCGGTTTATTATTCTGCATATTATCTGACTCAGCTGGCACGTAAGTAGAGTTTTTCCCTGGTGTAACCTAACCTGGCTTTTGTATGTCTTCCTGCTCTTTCTTAGTGACTGAGTTTCTGCTTTTGAAACAGAAAGAACATTAGAATGCCACTGGTTTGGTAAAGCTCCTGTCAAGTCATTCAACTAAAAAGGGGGTATCTGTAGCCACAGGGGCAGCATTTGCAAGGCAACCTGCAGGGCTTCCATTCCCTCCATGGGAGAGTCTGTGGCAGCAGAGTCTGTCATTTCCTCAGTTTGCTGGGACAAGCAAGACCTTTGAAAATGTAGACTGGGAGACCTTCTTGGAGGCCCTTCTAAAAACTCTGCAATTGTTCCCAGAATTCAGGGAAAGCTTCTTTCTTTCTAAATTTTCTCCTGAAAGGATTTGACTGTCTAACTTGATCTTTTACTGAGTGCTAAAAGAGTGATTCACTTTTTAAGGAAGTGCAAACTCCAAAGCAGTGAGTGTCTGCTCCAGTACCCTGGAGCTGCTGCTGTGCTGTTTCACAACAGAACTGCTACAGCTCAGGGGGATTTTGGGGAAGCTTTTCTGGGCAACTGATTTCAGCATGAGAATTAATGAGAATTAATGCATGCAACTGATTTTTTTTTTAAAAGGTACCTGAGGGAGAGGATAAAAAAAGCTGCTTGATGTTTTTGGTAGAACAGGAGCACCAAGTGTTAAAGAACAATTTGCATTTCCTTGATCATGTTTGTATTCATTTACTGGCAAAACAGGCCAAAGTGTAGACACAACTACAATACTATCCTGATCTCTTGCTGGCTGTGTGAGTGAAACAAGTCTCCTGGAGGGAAGTTGTGAAACGGGAAATCTCTGTTTGGGTTGACTTGTTCTGTGGGATTCAGCAGCCCAAGCAGTTTTCTGACAGCATCTTGTTCATTTCCCCTGCCCATTACAGGTCACCTGAAACGTGTATTCAGAGATGCTGGTCATGAGGTGAGTGAGAAAGGGAGATATCATGTTCATGGTCTTTAAGAATTGTACAGCAAGCTGTGAGCTTGGCCAGTGGTAGTAGAGTGTAGAGGACCAGCTAAATAGGCAATAAAAAAATCCATTTTGATGACAGCAGCAGCAAAAACAAAGGAATCACTGCCACATTCCCGCGTTTCCATTTCAGAACTTTCAAGAACTAGGACCACTGTTTTACAAATAAACCATTGCTACCTGATAAAAGTCAGGGTGGAATATTTAAATGAGAGCAATTTGCAGTACTACTGAATCAGCAAATTGTAATTCAGTCAGGGCGACTTAGAATCTCATTGCTGTCAAAGTTCCTGATTTCTGCTAAAAATTTGTGGTGGTAAATGCGAAAAGAAATGAGGTTCTGAATGATAGGTGACGGCCTGTGCCTCGTGCTTCTCTCTTGCCGCAGATGACAGAACCAACAGCCGTCTCTCCCCTGGCTCCCGCTGCTCCTGGAGAAGAAGCCAAAGAGGAGCAAATTGAGGTGGATGAGCGCCAGACTCCATCAATGGTCACACCAGAGCCTGGATATCCTGAGCCTGTAAGTGCCAGTTGTGTGCGGTGCTGTCTTTAGTGCAAGGCAGAGGTGCCAGTTTTGGAGCAGCCAGCGCTTCCTGTTGCTGGCCGAGGATGCTGAGTGCTGGAGTCCTGCCAGGAGCTCGGGATTTCCTGCAGACTGCAACAGCAGAACTTGGCCTTTGACCTGTGATGTTGAGGCCCCAAAGAGCTGGTGCCTCTGGGAGAGCATCTGGCTGCTTGGCTCAGGGGAGCTCTATCTCTGGGCTTCTGCAGTGCTCTGGCCAAGGGCAGACGTGGTAGTGCTGGAGGTGACGGGGCTTTGTTTGTCTGTTTTATTTCCGTTTTTGGAAAGGTGTGTTTGGCTTGTGAGACTGCTCTGCAGTTATCTTCAGTTCTTCTTCAGTTCTACAAAGTTTTTTTTGCCCAGCTGTATTTTGGCTTTTGAGATGGTTATGTTGTCCATGAAGCTGTGGGGACCCGTTCTCTTTCCCTGTTACCAAAGAAACAAAGCGAGTAGTTATGATGCCTCCTGGTGAGGCAAAAAAGCAGAAGGGGCAAGTTTCTGTTGATGCATTTAGTGATGAAGTCTGCAGCTTTGGCAAGAACCTTGGAGCCTGGATTGGGGTTGAAGCTGCCAGTCCTTGACTGCTGTCTTGTGTTGCTCAGAAGAGGAAGGCTATCAAGAAATGGTGGATGCTGTATTTGAAGTCAAATGGGCAACTCTGCGGCTGAGAAGCAGTGTGGGTCAAAAGACCCCAGGGGTGCGGTAGAAGATCAGCTGAAGAAGAGCAAGCCTGGGACCAGGTGTCCAAGAAGGCCCAGGGCATGGTGGCCTGTGTCAGCAGCAGTGGGGCAGCAGGAGCAGGGCAGTGAGCGTGGCCCTGTGCTGGGCAGCGCTGCGGCCACAGCTGCAGTGCTGGGTGCACTTGTGGGCCCCTGGGCAGCAGAAAGTCATGGAGGGGCTGCAGGGTGTGCACAGAAGGACAGGGGAGCTGGGCAAGGGGGTGCAGCACGAGGCCAGTGAGGAGGTGCTGAGAGAGCTTTAGTCTGGACAATGGGAGCTCTTGAAGGACCGTCCCTAAAGAGAATTCCATAAATCCTTACACGACAGTGCTCACCACAAGGGCCGCTTCCCCACTAAACATGCCCTCACTGCATCCAAGTGATTTAGACACTGGGGTGGGTCACACTTCCATCTTGTGTCTTTTTCGCTTGTTGGCTTGTTGGCTTGTTGGTTTCTAGGAGTGGTTTGCCCTGTATGTTTTCTCCTTTTCCAGCAAGCAAAGATGTTTTTGCACAATGTTTCCTTCCCCTTTCCGGCACTGGATGAGATTGTGATCCAGTTTGAGTTTTCCTTGTCTGCAGCAGCAGTGGCAAAGGTGTTGCCGTCGCTTTCCTTCTGTTCCATTTCAGAGCTTTCAAGAACTAAAGGTTCCGTTTTACAGAGACAGCGTTGCTTGCTGATAGCAGCCAGGGAGGAATATCAACCTTATATCCATCTGGAGTTCTGTTGAATTGGCTCGCTATACTTCGATGGGAGGGACTTAGAATCCCTATGTCGCTACGGAAGGCTCTGATTTCTCCTTAGAAGATGTGGTGGTAGATCTGAAGAGAAATGATCCTCTTAATGATAAGTGCCTCGTGCTACTCTCTTGCCGCAGATGACAGAACCAACAGCCGTCTCTCCCCTGGCTCCCGCTGCTCCTGGAGAAGAAGCCAAAGAGGAGCAAATTGAGGTGGATGAGCGCCAGACTCCATCAATGGTCACACCAGAGCCTGGATATCCTGAGCCTGTAAGTGCCAGTTGTGTGCGGTGCTGTCTTTAGTGCAAGGCAGAGGTGCCAGTTTTGGAGCAGCCAGCGCTTCCTGTTGCTGGCCGAGGATGCTGAGTGCTGGAATCCTGCCAGGAGCTCGGGATTTCCTGCAGACTGCAACAGCAGCACTGGGCCTTTGAGCTGTCATGTTGAGGCCCCAAAGGGCTGGTGCCTTTGTGAGAGCTTCTGGCTGCTTGGCTCAGGGGAGCTCTATCTCTGGGCTTCTGCAGTGCTCTGGCCAAGGGCACACGTGGTAGTGCTGGAGGTCACAGGGCTTTGTTTGTCTGTTTTATTTCCGTTTTTGGAAAGGTGTGTTTGGCTTGTGAGACTGCTCTGCAGTTTTCTTGAGTTCTTCTTCAGTTCTACAAAGTCTTTTGGTCCAGGTGACTTTTTGCTTTTGATGAGCATCCAAGGAGATGGTTATGTTGCCCACGAAGTTGTGAGGGGCCATTCTTGTCCTGTCGGGCCAAAGAAACAAAGTGAGTAGTTATGATGCCTCCTGGTGAGGCAAAAAGCAGAAGGGGCAAGCTTCTGTTGATGCATTTAGTGATGAAGTCTGCAGCTTTGGCAAGTGCCTTGCAGAATGGAGTGGGGGTGAAGCTGCAAGTCCTTTGCTGCTGTCATGTGTTGCTAAGACGAGGAAGGCTATCAAGAAATGGTGGGTGCTGTATTTGAAGTCAAATGTGCAACTCTCGGCTGGGAAGCGGCGCGGGTCCAAAAGACCCCAGGGGTGCGGTAGAAGATCAGCTGAAGAAGAGCAAGCCTGGGACCAGGTGTCCAAGAAGGCCCAGGGCATGGTGGCCTGTGTCAGCAGCAGTGGGGCAGCAGGAGCAGGGCAGTGAGCGTGGCCCTGTGCTGGGCAGCGCTGCAGCCACAGCTGCAGTGCTGGGTGCACTTGTGGGCCCCTGGGCAGCAGAAAGTCATGGAGGGGCTGCAGGGTGTGCACAGAAGGACAGGGGAGCTGGGCAAGGGGGTGCAGCACGAGGCCAGTGAGGAGGTGCTGAGAGAGCTTTAGTCTGGACAATGGGAGCTCTTGAAGGACCGTCCCTAAAGAGAATTCCATAAATCCTTACACGACAGTGCTCACCACAAGGGCCGCTTCCCCACTAAACATGCCCTCACTGCATCCAAGTGATTTAGACACTGGGGTGGGTCACACTTCCATCTTGTGTCTTTTTCGCTTGTTGGCTTGTTGGCTTGTTGGTTTTCTAGGAGAGGTTTGCCCTGTATGTTTTCTCCTTTTCCAGCAAGCAAAGATGTTTTTGCACAATGTTTCCTTCCCCTTTCCGGCACTGGATGAGATTGTGATCCAGTTTGAGTTTTCCTTGTCTGCAGCAGCAGTGGCAAAGGCGTTGCCGTCGCTTTCCTTCTGTTCCATTTCAGAGCTTTCAAGAACTAAAGGTTCCGTTTTACAGAGACAGCGTTGCTTGCTGATAGCAGCCAGGGAGGAATATCAACCTTATATCCACCTAGAGTTCTGTTGAAGTGGCCCATTAAAATTTGGTCTGTGGGACTTTGAATCCCTATGTCGCTACGAAATGTTCTGATTTCTCCTTAGAAGATGTGGTGGTAGATCTGAAAAGAAATGAGGTTCTAAATGAGAGGTGACGGCCTGAGCCTCGCGCTTCTCTCTTGCCGCAGATGACAGAAGCAACAGCCGTCTCTCCCCCGGCTCCCGCTGCTCCTGAAGAAGAAGCCAAAGAGGAGCAAATTGAGGTGGATGAGCGCCAGACTCCATCAATGGTCACACCAGAGGCTGAATATCCCGAGGCCGTAAGTGCCAGTTGTGTGCGGTGCTGTCTTTAGTGCAAGGCAGAAGTGCAAATATTGGAGCAGCCAGCGCTTCCTGTTGCTGGCCGAGGATGCTGGGTGCTGGAATCCTGACAGTACCTAAGGATTTCCTGCAGACTGCAGCATCAGTAGAACTTGGCCTTTGACCTGTGATGTTGAGGCCCCAAAGGGCTGGTGCTTCTGGGAGAGCATCTGGCTGCTTGGCTCAGGGGAGCTCTCTCTCTGGGCTTCTGCAGTGCTCTGGCCAAGGGCAGACGTGGTAGTGCTGGAGGTGACGGGGCTTTGTTTGTCTGTTTTATTTCCGTTTTTGGAAAGGTGTGTTTGGCTTGTGAGACTGCTCTGCAGTTATCTTCAGTTCTTCTTCAGTTCTACAAAGTTTTTTTTGCCCAGCTGTATTTTGGCTTTTGAGATGGTTATGTTGTCCATGAAGCTGTGGGGACCCGTTCTCTTTCCCTGTTACCAAAGAAACAAAGCGAGTAGTTATGATGCCTCCTGGTGAGGCAAAAAAGCAGAAGGGGCAAGTTTCTGTTGATGCATTTAGTGATGAAGTCTGCAGCTTTGGCAAGAACCTTGGAGCCTGGATTGGGGTTGAAGCTGCCAGTCCTTGACTGCTGTCTTGTGTTGCTCAGAAGAGGAAGGCTATCAAGAAATGGTGGATGCTGTATTTGAAGTCAAATGGGCAACTCTGCGGCTGAGAAGCAGTGTGGGTCAAAAGACCCCAGGGGTGCGGTAGAAGATCAGCTGAAGAAGAGCAAGCCTGGGACCAGGTGTCCAAGAAGGCCCAGGGCATGGTGGCCTGTGTCAGCAGCAGTGGGGCAGCAGGAGCAGGGCAGTGAGCGTGGCCCTGTGCTGGGCAGCGCTGCGGCCACAGCTGCAGTGCTGGGTGCACTTGTGGGCCCCTGGGCAGCAGAAAGTCATGGAGGGGCTGCAGGGTGTGCACAGAAGGACAGGGGAGCTGGGCAAGGGGGTGCAGCACGAGGCCAGTGAGGAGGTGCTGAGAGAGCTTTAGTCTGGACAATGGGAGCTCTTGAAGGACCGTCCCTAAAGAGAATTCCATAAATCCTTACACGACAGTGCTCACCACAAGGGCCGCTTCCCCACTAAACATGCCCTCACTGCATCCAAGTGATTTAGACACTGGGGTGGGTCACACTTCCATCTTGTGTCTTTTTCGCTTGTTGGCTTGTTGGCTTGTTGGTTTCTAGGAGTGGTTTGCCCTGTATGTTTTCTCCTTTTCCAGCAAGCAAAGATGTTTTTGCACAATGTTTCCTTCCCCTTTCCGGCACTGGATGAGATTGTGATCCAGTTTGAGTTTTCCTTGTCTGCAGCAGCAGTGGCAAAGGTGTTGCCGTCGCTTTCCTTCTGTTCCATTTCAGAGCTTTCAAGAACTAAAGGTTCCGTTTTACAGAGACAGCGT